CCAATAAATCCGATAATTAATTATTATGTAATTAATTAGAACCTACTTCTTAGCACTGTGTTCACATTTCTTAATTGTTTTGAACAACTAGGAGAACCTTTATTACTCTAGTTGACAATAGAGATATATTGGTGCATTCAATATTTGATTCTCTCTAATCGCTTTAATTGGTTTCGAAGTGATCGATTTCGTTTAAATGACTTGAAAGTCAACGAAAACTACCATTGAAAGTCAAAAGATAAATCCAAATTATTCACTCACAGCCACGTGGGCATACACAGACGTGGCGATCTATCTTTGTTTGTGTGAATTCGAATACTCTTCAGTAAATGATTGCCGATTTTTTTTTTTTAAAATAATAAAAGAAGTACTAAGCGGGGATTATTGGGTTGTTGATTTTAATTATTTCTCAAATCCAAGTAAAATGTGACCATATATTATCAAAATGCAATTTAGAAGAGGACGTAATTACGTGGAATTGGGGAAGTTATCCTAAGTAGGGCATTCACAATTTTATTTTAGAAGTTAATGACTTAACTACACTTGGCTGATAATTTTGTAAGAGAGTAAATACTAAATAGGCGCGATTACATTAAGTGTTTGGTAGCAGAAATAAATCCAATCTCAACGAACTACTTTCTGTGATCAGAAACTAAAATTTCCTCCACTGACATTAGTCTCTTGTTTTTCTAATGATCAACAGGTAAATAATGATTAACTATTACTGAGTTCCTTGCAAAAATATTTATTTAATATATCTATATAACTGTTAACCGGTAAATAATAATGCACAGAGTGAAATGAAATGAAAATTTATTAAGGACGGATGTCTTGGGGATAGTTGTCAATGTGTCATGTGGGTTTCACATGGCAAAAGAAAACAGAGAACATCTGCTAATATTTTCTGATTGGTCGCTTCGCAAATATATTCTCAAGTCTCAAGCAACCTTGTATTTGTATATTTCTCATTGGTGTTGATATGTTATGTTTGTGTTCGTCGACGCACCCGGGGGCCACATGACCGTGGTCCATGGGCCTCGTTTTGCTTCCACGTATATTTTTTTTATTTATTTTTATAATATGAATGTTATAGCAAAGCCTAGTGTTTTTTTTCGCGATTCTTTTAGTCAAAATATATTGCAGTTTTGTGATTTAATTTTACCAAAACTATATTTTACTGTTTTGCAGTTAAATTAATAGAATTGATTAGTGGTTATATATAGTGTTCCATTTTGCATATCTTTTTCCACAACTTTTTCACAATGCAGTATCGTTATAGCAATAAGACTGTACATTTAGTATTGGTAATAACTAGTAAGTAATAGTAAATTGAAATCAGTTTTTTTTTTCACATTCTTAAAAGTAGATATAAATTAAGATATCATCTAGTTTTGGTTCACTCGTATTTTTACTTAGTTTTTTAGTAGGTTGAATGATAATCGAAATCTATATACCTTTTTGAATAAAGAACATATTAGTCAGACAAAAAAAAACCCATCGTCACATTTTTGTGTTGGAGACTAATGGCAATATTGTTTTCTTCGTGGAATAGTATATGTTTTGATGTTTGGAACTTTGAGGACACGACATTATGTTTTTTCGAAGAGCTTTAAGCCTTTGTTGGTTATAGGGTTTTCGTTACATTTACAGTATCTTAAGTAATTTTGTACTCAATATTATATTAATGAATGCCAAACTTTGGATTTGAAGTCACGATTGGTGTAAACTCTGTTGATATGCATCTAAGTTCTTTTAACTACATTGTATGTGCCAACTCAAAATAATTATTGCATATATTGTTGTAATTAATAAATTGAGCTTGAAATAATGTTGCATCAATAAGAACAGATTTTTTGTAATATATTAAAGATCTTTGTATATTATTATCCATAAAAATGTTGGCATGGCATGAGGATTCGATCAAAGTTGGATCTTTTTCAACATTCAAAGTTGTATAAAATTCAAAAACAAAAGGCCGAAAGCAATTCTTGTCTTTGCATAAGCTTTCTCCAACACAAAAAGTTTACCTTTATTCGTCTTTTCAAATAGAGAGATTTTATATATATTCTTTCTTTTTTCGTTGATCATAGATTAAGTGGGAAAATACCTCAAAACAGTATTTAAAAGATCTGGATCAATTGGTGTATTTTTCAATTAGTTTAAGTTGGAACCCTATTAGTGTGGCTACATTATTTATTCATATACGTCACACCATTCGTTAACATTTTGTTAGTGTGAAGCAAATGTTCAAAAAAAAAAAAAAACATTTTGTTAGTGTGGCTAGATTTTCATTTTTTTTGGGGGGGGGAATGTGTAGTCCTGGAAAGCTGTGGTTTAAAGTTGGTGTAGCTAACAGTTTTATTTTGTAATCAAATGACGTAACAGGCTAACAGCTAATCAGTTATGTATTCGGTATTAGTGAAATGAGATTAGTTTCTCACTTCTTACGACGTAAACAAAAAACTATATATGTATCGAGTCTAGTTATAATAATCTAAGGGAACGAAGAAAAATTAGAGCCCGAAGTCTGGTCCCCTAAAAAGAAAACCCACCAGGAATTAGGGCTATTAAAATGATATACTTTTTTTATTTTGGGCTTATCCCTTTTAAATTTCTGTTGTCTGAAGGCCTTACCCATCAAAAATTGATCAAAAACTTGTCGTGATATAAACCTGAGGTATGGGACCGAGTCGATGCGCAAGTTGCTATATGCGGGAAGAAGTCGACGAAACTGAAAACCAGAAACATGTGATATGTCCATTTTTTAATGTTTGTTATAAGCAAATTGTAGTTGATTTGTTGGGTATATGTCCATTTCAAACATTGCATCACCACTCTTTCACACTTCATGCGCCTATATTATACATGCAGGTATATTTCATTTATTTGTACTTTTGTAACAAAATTAATTTTGTAAAATAAATTGAAAATATATAAGAAAAGTTCATAAATGTAGTCTCGGCTTAATATAAACGGATGAACGCAAAGAATTTTCTTAAGTAATTATGTATCATCTATACCTAGTTATACTCTCTATTGTTGTTTTTGAGCTAATTGACTCTAAATTCTAACTCTAAACTTCAACCCCTAATTTTTAAAAATATTCTAAAATCTAAACAAAATGATACATTTCTTTAATTTTTAAAGAGTTAGCATATGTTTTAAATTTAGTTTTTAAGCATTCCAAGCAGTGCTACATAAATCTTTTACCGACAGACACTACTTGAGTAGATGTATGCTAATCTTGGAGATACTTCCGCTAGGGTGGAAGGCGTGTAGTCTACGGTGTTTGCAATCTCAATATGGTGGAGTTAGAAATGGAGGTGTGGAAATGTGTTTGGGACTAATGCGAAATGTCGGGATAGAGTCAGGTTTATCAAAGACTATACAACGAAAGTAACAGCAGCACATGATAGAGTGAGAGGTAGTGGGAGTATGACGGAAAGAGTGGAGAGACTCATAGGATGGATACCACCTACAGGTGACTGGTTGAAGTTAAACACTGATGGTGCTTCGCGGGGTAACCCGGGCTTTGCAACAGCTGGGAGTGTACTTCGGGATGGTAATGGAGATTGGTGTGGAGGTTTTACCGTGAACATTGGTATTTGCTCAGCTCCATTGGCAGAGTTATGGGGGGTGTATTACGACTTTTACATCGCGTGGAAATGTCGGGTCAGTCGGCTCGAGGTTGAAGTGGATTCTGCAACAGTTGTGGGCTTCTTAACAGAGGGGATTAGTGATACTCACCCTCTGTCTTTCTTGGTACGGCTGTGCTAAGGCTTTATCGCAAGGGACTGGTTAGTCCGTGTGTCACATGTGTTCAGAGAAGCCAACCGTCTCGCGGACGGTTTAGCGAATTTTGCTTTCTCATTACCGTTTGGTTTTATGTTGTTAGAGTCTCCCCAGATGAATTAAATTCGATTATGTTTGATGATACTGTTGGGGTTACGAGAGTACGGAATGTGCTGATATAGTTGTTTTGAGTTATAAATAAAAGTGTTGGAGATGTTTCTCCTCCTTCTGACCAAAAAAAAAAAAAATCTTTTACCGACAAAAATAAAAATGTAGGCGTAACGGGAATATTCAAGGACCCGGAGAAATCCATGATTTACAAAAGAAACATATAGTAACAATTAACAAATAATTAAACGTGATAAGGATTTGACTTTGGTTTCAAATTACAGTATGACGAGGTAATATATATTTACTATTATTTAGACCCAACGACTCCCGAATAAAGTTGAAAACAATGTGTTGACTTTAGGGAATACACACTACTGTTTGACAAACAGATTTATCAAAGTCTCCTTAGTCTATTTGTGTCAACTGCTTTTCGACTTTTATGGTATTGATGATTGATTTATTGATTTGATATTTCAAAAAGTTATCCATAATATTGTTTGCAGTCTTTGATTACTAGACTAATGATGAACATCTTTATAAAAAGCATTTGTGATCCTTATCAATTAGATCTGACGTTCTTTTCCAAACTAATTAAACTTACCAAAAACCAACACGAATCAAAGTTTAAAACAAACCAAGCAAAACCATGAATTTGAAAAGCTTGATTGCAAAACACTTATTCTTGGTAAATTCTTTAGTCTTCATTTTTTTCAGGAACTGTAGAAACATCAAAGTCCTAGGATTCCCCCCATTATTTCAGCATCTACGTTTGGCTCTTTTATTCACGACTCAAGAGATCATAAAAGTAGCTTTTTCGCATAGAAAATGAACAATTATTATTTGATAAAGAAAAATGACCAGCGATTAAGTAAAACAAAACAATAAAACAAAAGAAATATATGATAAAACGATATAATCTACTCATATTGCAAAAAAGGCAAAAACTTTGTGTTACACAAAGACAACTCTAGGGTTTTGGTTCTTCCACGCCTTCCAACATTTCAAGAGGTAACACACAAAATATAAGATGATTCAACCTAGATTACGCTGGCATCGTATCTATATCTATATCTAATATTCAACATCTAAATAATCATTTACTCATTACTGAATAGAGGATAATCAATGAAGTAGCTAATATCATGATCTAAGCAGTTGTTGCTCAGCGTCTCGGTACCACGAAGTCCGATTTCTTGCGTATTGGTGTTGGCTATCTCATCGAATAGCTCGACCTGTAGATTCTCCAACCCGGTCATGAATAACATCTCTTGATCATGATGATCAGTGTTATTGATGGTGGAATGAGACATTTGTAGAGATGAATTTGTACCAATGCTACTACTACCACTACTCATGGAGTTTAAGGATGGAGATGAATGATGATGATAAGATGAAGAGGCTGCATCATCAATACCAAACCAAACCTGGTTTTGTTCCCAGGAAAATGTTTCCATATTCGGATTCTGGATCATGACTTGATCTTCCATGCAGAAATATGTTATTGATGGATCCACCACCTCGTTATATAAGGTTTGGTTCAACGGCGATTTGGTGTTCTCATCATGAAACATTAGGATCTGGTTTTGACCCGTTGATGTTATTTTTTGGGACTCGAATTTGACTTTAAGTTGTTGGTGAAATGCCTTCCCCTGCTTGCTCAATAGCTTCTTCTTAAGCCTCGTATTCCAGTAGTTTTTGATATCGTTGTCTGTTCTTCCCGGTAATTGTGAAGCAATGATAGACCACCTTCATCCACAAAATTTAATTAATATACACACCATTTTAGATGCAGCTTTGTTAATAAAATTTCATGAATCATATTCATATGTATTTATATATATATATATTATAGGAACAAGAAATATAAATTATAAACCTGCTTCCAATAGTAATGTAAAGGCTGCAGATGATGTAATCTTCTTCATCCGTGAAGCCTCCATGCTTTAAGTTAGGCCTCAAGTAATTAAGCCATCTCAGACGACAACTCTTTCCACATCTCTTAATCCCTTTTATCAAAATGTAAAATTGTTACAAACTATATATTATATGAAAACAAAAATCAAACAAAATTGTTTTAAAATAAATACCGATTCTGTGAGGGAGGGAAATCCAATTGTTGCCGGTACCGTGTTTTTCGATGTAAGACTTAAGCACGGCGTCTTCCTCCGGCGACCATGGCCCTTTTTTCACCGCATTCTTGTCGCAGCACGGTGCTCTTCCCATTTGTTTTTAAAAGGAAAAATATATTTTTTGGGTTAAATTAGTCTTTTCTCTTCTTCTCAATGGGGTTTCTTGTTGTCAAGGTTTTTTATCTTCGGTAGTCTCTATCTATATGTATATATATGAGGAAACCTGATGAAGAATGATGACAAGTGGACTTCTGTTTGTATACGTGTGTATATAGACGATTAAAGTATGTATGATGAGGAAACGGTATCAGTAGTATCGGTCTCCTAAAATTCCAATAAATGTGAATATGACTAAGAAACAAATTCAAAAAATGCAAAAATTATAAAATATGTTATAAGTATTTCAAGACTGAAGAGAGAGTAAGTATATTACGGAGACACACACAAAAAATGAAGAAAGGTAAACGTGACAACATATGGTTTTGTTATTCCAACATCTGTGGTAACACAATTGTATTCTTCTAATGTGAATGCTTGTACTATACAATCATACAATTGTATTATATATATAGTCCCGCATATCCTTTAACTTCTTTGGTTTAAGCAATCGTTGACCGAAAAATATGTGAATCGTTAATTTTATCTAATCCGTAGCTAAGTTATTTGGTAAACTACCAGTTTAATAAGTATATAACACCTTGATCATTACAATGATTTCATCTCATAGTTAAAATCTTGATATTTGTTTGAAATTTTTTTGAATAAAGATGTGCCTAAGCCAGTATTTTAAACAAGGTTTTTTTTGTTTAGGATTCACAATTTGGTTGTTTCGGTTATCTACTGTTTTGATTTTGATTTCACTTCGTTGTCTTGTTAAACTTGTACCTTTACTAGAAAAGTTTTTAAACCTTTCAAATGTTTCATATGGTCTTTCTCCGGTTTAATTTAGGTGATAATTAAGAAAAGCTAAAAATAGCAAACCCCGAATTAGTTGTTCATGTATTTTAGATTATGCTGTATTGTGTAAATGAAATATAATTGAACCATCTTCTTCTCATACTCTTCTAGATGAAAAAGCAAATGGGTGACTTGACCTAAGACCGAGAGAGTTAATTCTGAAGTTTTCAAAGAAATAAAAATAAAAGAACATTACATTCTTTCAATATCCTAGTTTACAAAAAGCAACTGGTTGCAAGAAAAAGTGAGAGGAAAAAACAAAAATTTATCAAATTCGATTAAAAAACAAAAATCTAATAAAACACCTTTCAACACGCTATTGGAATCGGTCTTCTCGGTACGACGAGTACAAAAATTTGACGGAGTCAAGTGATGTCAGTGTAAACTTTTTATAATTTATGTAAGATGGTTTGAGTTAATTCTTAAACTCGAAAAGAAAGTTATAAAATCTAATATAATTATCTTAAGCATGCACTCTCACTCATCCAAAATCATATTCATTCAATGGACGTTAAAATGAACAGAACAAATACTGATTTTTCTTATTGCAATGAAAATGTAATAATTGATCCTTTCAAGCCGAAAAAACGAAAACATTATCTATTTGATTATGTCTAGAGTCGACATATGGAAATGAATAAGACAAATTAAGCAGGTAGAACTTTCAAGTTCTTGACTTTAAGTATTTTAGTTTATCTTACTAATTCTCGAGACAATTCTTGGATATGGTATTTGGGACCAAATTTATACTTTTGTTCATAGAATGAAAGATTGAGAGGTTCTTTAATTTTCCTTTGAAAAAGCATTAGTTAGAGAAAAATAAACTAAGCTATTACTTTTTTTTTCCTTGTGTGTGTGCAATTAGCTAAGTTATTACTTATAAGATAATTGAAACAAACAAAAGTGATATTCTCCAGGCTTAGAAAATAAATAATGGTTTTTTAAAATCTTTTTGTTTCTAAACAACAAACAAGCATCTGTCAACATACCGTTAAGACATGATATAACAAATGAGGGTTTTAAAAACTTATAATCAGAGCGAGAAATCGTATTAATCTGTGTAAAACTGTAAAAGTAAAACAACGTTTTTTACCTGCGAATTTCAACATGTAAAGGCCCACTAAATGCTGGGTCAACCCGTTTTACAAGAGCTTGCATGATTTTGGGCCACTATGATTCGAACGTAAGCCTTTTCAAATTGCTCACTTGTGGACCCAAACTTTTTCCCGACAATTTTTGGAATCTCCTAATGCGTATGGGCACTTCTCTCTAATGGGAACAAAAATTGATTTGTATTACAATTGGGCTGTACTTATTCCCTTGGGCCTCAAAATGCGGCCTTTTACTATGTACACAGTATTTCAAAGACTTAAAATTGCAGGCAGCACAGAAGGGAGGAATTCTTTTTTAAAAAATAAATAACTTAAAATCTTTCAGCAAAGTTCCAACAAAAGCTGACACAATTTGCTCATATTTTTGGTTTATATTAAAAAGTCGTAATAATAACAATAAGATGAGAGTGACTGTTATTTTAGAAGAAGATGTGTGCCAAAAGACAATCGATGTGAAAATCAACGTCAGTAAGTCAGGACCCAGATATCTTCCAGATCTTTGGTGGCCAAAAGACAAAATTGCACTACGTGTTTCTCACGAATGGTCCCTGCTCAAATTGGGGGCAATTTTGTCAGTTCCTTTTTCTTTGGTGCAATATTGCGTTTGTCATTTCGGTTTATCTGATGGACTTTTTATCTTTTTTTTCACTTTCTAATTTCATGAACATTTGTTATTTACACAAACGCAATAATAAAAATATGTCTACGTATGTGTATATGAGTATTATAGTTGACGAATCATATATTTTTTTAAACTCGAAATAACTAAAACACTCAAACATATTTTTTAAACGAAAAGTTTGCTTAGTCATAAGACTTGACAAATAAAAATTGTGATACCTAACAAAATGGAAAGACCTCACAATGATGATAATAGACTTTAGAAGGACGAAGACACGAATAGACACACCGACTTTATTAGGCCGAATCAAAAGCGAGAAAAGGTCATCGTTTCTCTTTCTTCTCTTTCAACTTTCTTTTATTTTCACAACCACACACACACATATACACTTAATACCTCATACACATACGTATAATAAAACTTATATCTATATTTGGTAGACAACGGTTGCATCATGGCTTGCGTTTACAAGTCTTTCGAGACACGAGAGTCCATCGTCACTAATCCACCACGGCGTCTCACTCTTTCCCTAAATTTATATGTGTATTTTGTTGAAAGGTGTAAGAATTTGTATATATTAACACCCCAACAATTTCGAAATTTTATAATACGCTTAATTTAATAAAAGTTAATCAGCATAGTGTAGAATATTAGTTGAGAGAAGAAAAATGATAGTACTTTTTATGTACAATCATTATAATATTTTATGGACAATATCATAATTCTGTGAGTTATCTCAATGCCTACTACCTAAAGCATTTTCCTCACAAAATGTTTTTGGAAAACCCCTAGAATAAACTCAAATTAAATTAAACTAGTTTATTGCCAAATGATACAACACCAGCACTCGTAATTTGTTTTTGTTTGACCTGATTATTTCGTAATAGTTAATAAATAAATATTCTTAGAGTAGACTTTTGTTGTCAAAGGCTCAATGATTCTTCTCTTTACAGAGTCAAGATCTCGACGTATTGACAGAATATTTACTTATATTCCTATTAATCATGCAGTTTATTTATCCTATGAATAAATGTGGTTACTCATTAAATAATCAAATTCGTTCCCCTCCTTTTTCCCCAATATGGGTCAATTATTCGCGTCCGTTTACATTTGAGGGTAATATTCGTTACGAGCTTTTGAATTTTAGAACCTACTAATAGTTGATCATTCTTCACAAAAAGATAATACCCTCTCCATTCTTAGATGCTTTTTATTAATCATAAACAAAATAAGAGAGAGTTTTCTGGATGGTTTATTAAGCGTGCAAACTATGATAAAATATCACGAATACAAAATGAATATGAATAAAAATAAAGCACACGCTTAAGACATGATATTCAGTTAGAATAAATTTCACTCGACAATGTATTGGTAAACAATAATATTCTACATATGTATGACACCATCATAATATGCTTTTTGACATTCTGGAAAATAATCATTTAAAAAAAAAGGAAATCCAGCTCAAACATAATTTCACATATAATTCAAGTATATATTCTGATTTTTTGGGGTCAATATATAATATATTCTGATTCTAATAGTTAAAACTAGACCGTCAAATTTGGTGGCTTTGTTAAAATTTAAAGTTATGTATGTGATAGACTGATCTTTTTGTGTCATTATTATTGCCCGAAACTGAGTGGATATTTGAAACGGGGTTATAACAAATAAAGAAGCATCATCCATAATTTGACTGATGCATAGTTTATCAAATAGGAAAGGAAAATAAATAGAAAAAGAACAAAATAAAGACATGAAAAGCAACATGTCTGGTTGGCCGTAGAGCCGGGGAGGTGACAAAAAAGGATCAGACAACCCTTCTATCATTCATCCAACTTAGTCCCTCCTTTACTATACAACATAATTATCCATTTTTAATATTATATCATAAACTGTATATATTTTTTTTATTTGCTTAGGCAAGTAAGAAAATTAGGACATGTTTTCCACACTTTTACACAACAAAACTCGTTATATTAATATATCTCGTGGTGATTTTTTTCATTTTATAGATTAACTAGTCATTTTAGTTTTAGCTTTTATATTTCATTTTAGTTAGTGAGCAAAAAACCAAATCGAACATGTTTCTCAGTTATCAGTATCATCCACTTAAATTTTTTAAAACAATCAGTTCATATCTAAAACTTTTTCATTTTTTTGGCAACATAGGTCTTTTTAAACATCCAGTGTGATTTTATCCATAATTAATGTTTTTAAAAATATAAGGATTATATTGGTGCTTCCTGATAACATATAGGACCGCAAATGAAAAGAAAGAAAAACTACTCGAAATATTCAATAACATTTCAATTATTAATCAATTTCCTCAACTAATCCAGATTAGACAGATTTTGTTTAGTAGTTTGAAAAAAAAAAAGCACATAATTAAACCAGTTGAAC